GTTCAAGTCTGCGGAACACCAGTAACTGACAAAAACAAACAAATATTATTTCATTATGTACACGATACAACACGATCCAGCCTGATTGTCTTGTATCAATCAGTGAGGATGACTCCTCATCTGCACTGACAGAATGCAGTCAGTTGTTAACCCCAGTCCAAACTGGTGCAAACCCTGGACGTCCAAAACCTGAGAGGTCCCTCAGATAGTGTGAGGCAAACACCATGTCGGTTCTCCAAAAGCAGCCTTACATGATAGCCACTGCCCTTCTCTAATGCAGGTTGGATGCCACTGGAGGTGGTAACCCTGTGAAGGTGTGTCACTATGAAGATTACCATGTGTAATCAAGATGACACTGTGGTCCTGTATTCCTCCATAGCTGAAGCTGTCGACAAGGGAATGAATAGGCGCTTCGTGATCGTCTATGATCTTTTGATGTTTGAAGGTAGATCATAAGAGCTCTAAACTGGAAGAGTGAAAGATTTTCCTTTTCCTCTGGGTCTAAAACTGAAGATAGAGGTAAAGTGATTAATCTGTCTGGCTGTCCAGGGAGTTGATTCTTAGCTACAAAGTCCCATCTTAGGCCCACACCAAGCGTTTCCTTTCAAAACAATCCCTGTTTACATCAAGCATGTGGATCTAGCTGATGCGAGCCGTTGGGGCCAAGGCGAACAAAAAGACATTTTTGATGACATTCAAGCTGGCAGTCTGATTTTGGCCAACCATCTTGCACAAACGTTGCAAAGATTGCAGTTCTGCCACTATGAAAACCCACTTGCCTGTGGTCGTAGCAATCACAGAGTTGAAAGCAGCTAAGTAAGTTGGAAGTGTAGATGCTTATAACTTCCTCCAACTTCTCAAGTGCTGAAGAAATTCAGTTATATGCTGTTGCAATGCTTTAGTAGGGGATTGAACATCTCAAACCTTGCAATATCCTTCCAACACTTTTGATATATGATCATAGAGAGCCAATGTCAAAGTATACTGTGCTGCCGTAATTAACCGATCCACCCTTTAAGAATATCCTTTGGCAATCAAGGATTTCTTAAGATGAGCCAAATGTAGAGATGACTCTGGCAACGGCTGTAGCTGGTTTGAGTGTGGCTGAAGCAGTAGATCTTTCTGTAGTGGAAGTAGTGTCTTCGATCAGCTTTTTTTATGAGCGTGGTGAACAAGCTCTTAGCCAGCCAGTAGGGCGCAACCAAAAGCAGTTGGAGTCTCTTGAAGTCGGAATCTTTTGAAGCAACCGAGTTAGCAGTCCCATTGGTGGGTACTCATATGCATACAGATCTTCCCAAGATATGGCTGAAGCATCGTGCTTCAGGGTCTGGTATCTGAGAGACAAACATTGGTAGTTGAGCACTAAACCTTGGCAGCTGAGCACTGTACCTGGTCGCAAACAGGTCTACCTCTGACTTTCCAAATAGAAGGCAGATCTCTGGAAGATTGCGGGATGGAGTCTCCACTCTGTTAAGCATCTGCTATCACATTCTGAAATCCTGGATGTGTCTGGCTCAAACTTGAATCTGAAGCAAATCGATCAATTCGAAGAACTGGACTGTCATAGGTTGGAGTGAAGCAGATTGATCCCATCTTGTTTATGTTCCACATGATTTTGGATCATCAGTAGTACAGTTGTACCGCCTCTCAGTGTTTTATTTCTGTTTGTCTGTGGTCCATTGCCCGGCAACTCATATCTAACAGATGTGCTCCCCATCACCATGTCGAGGCGTCGACGAAGAGGTCGTGTGTTGGTGAGAATAGTGTCAAGGAGACTCCTTCACAGACGTTCGACTCCCAAAGCCACCAATGAAGGGGATGTTGTAACGATGTCGGCAGTTGAATCTTGGTCTTTCTGCAGAAACAGTCTCGGAAACCTCTGTCATGGCGTTAGCTATGCAGATGCTCTCCTCAAGAAACTGTATGAGTGCCAATGGTACCTGTTTCTGTAACAAAACCCACCTGTCCCTTGGAACGAACATCTTGCCTTCCTGGGTGTTGAACAATGCTCCAATGAACTGGCGCTGTTGTATAGTATTGACAAGTCATCATAGATTGTGTAACTGCAGTTGATTCTCTAAGATGTGCGAGGAATGGCATGAACTTGAATGCAGTCATTGATGAAGGCCTTAAAAACAAACCCCCTGGCAGTGAAGGAACTAGAGTGATGGATTTTGTGATGCGGGTGAATAACCGAATTAGAGAACCCGCCACTGATAGTGCATCAACTGGAATAATAAGTGAAGATACCTTTGATGATCCTGATAGATTGGCATATGAAGGTACGCATCTTGGAGGTAAGACCGACCATGTAGTCTTTGTGTCTCGCAGAAATGTCTTATACCAAAGAAATGTGACAATTGATCCATCAGTCCCTCAGAAACTTGTTGCGTGTAAGCAGAATTGTCCACCGAATATGAGCCTCGTTTGATGTCACATGTGCCAAAGACAACGCAATTTCCTCTGCAGCCGATAGAGTCACTTAAAGGGTTTGATGAATAGCCATATCTAGATGCATCAACTCAGGGTTTTACGTTGACTTACAAAAGTGAGGACCACTGATAATTAATTTAGAGTGTAATAGCTGACAGTGTGAGGGTCCTTAAAGTATAGAAATGGTGTAGTGTACTGTACATTTTGATAATTACTTGAGACCATGGAATGAATCAATGATCAAGTGGACAGTGATCATGATTGATGGATGAAATGACAGACATCAATACCTGCTCTTGATGTAGGTACAATGGATATTATTGTGCATCCCTCGGGACACAGTTTATTCTTTTTCTGCGATGTGCATATCAGCGTCGTGTAAAACCCTGCATCAACTCCTTATCTTAAACAATTGACATATGACTCATTCTGGGTGTCTGATCATCTGCATCAATTTCAGGTGAAGTGGCAAAGGAGCCCAGAGTCCATCCCATACTCTCTTGAGAAGAGAGAAGGCCTCATCCAGATGCTAGCTCATATCCAACATCACGGCTGAGGTGGTGAGGTAATGGATTCCACATTCCATTTATTCCTTACCTAAAAAATATGATTGGTGATACTACTTCAACATGTCCAACTGATCAACACTGTTAATGCTGTCTGTCGGCAATACGGGATATCCTAGAGTCTCTGCTTCATTGTGTGGCATGCTATCGCTGCAGTCAAAACCATGTTGGTGATTTGAAGGTGTGGGTTCAAAACCCAACGAACAAGGCCTTGGCAAAGGAGATCGAGAACTAGAAGATGATCTCCTGCAACATCACTTTCTTCTCTGTGGTGAACGACTTTCGCTGAAAGCTGTCAACAGAGCTTGGAGATCCACAGATGAGAAGAACAACAATTGCGATCGATGCTGCCAAAACGTATTTGAGAAGAAGGCACTTGACGATCCTTTCGAACCCTCAAACAATGTATTCCATCTGGATGATCCTGTTGATCCTTCCTCTCTCAGCGAAGTGGTCTATCCAATACCCAATACTCTACAATAAATTACATCTGTAAAACAAGAAAAGAGCCCTGTACAGTCACTACAGCTCACGTCACACACTTTCCTTTTCTTTTTATCCATAACAAAAACTTTATAAACTCAAATACTCAAGAAGTAAGTTTTATTCTCCTCCAGAAAAAACCCTATCTCTATTCTAGAGCGATATGAAGGGCAGGGCAGGGCAGGGCAGGGCAGGTCACATGGTCAGACAGCATGAGGTCTATGTGTTGCAATGGCAATTGGTGATAGTGGTGACCTTGGTTAGAGCTGGGATATGTTTGGGTGCAGTGTTTTTAGAAGCTGGAAAGCTGGTTCAAGGTGAGTTTCCACTCTAGGATCAATGAAGAAGGGTGAAATGCAAAGTGTGAGATATGATAACTTTAAAAATTGTTGTTAGGCTTGAAAAGTTCCTCAGGCTTAGTTTCTGTATCGAAGAAGTAAGTGAGTGAGTTGGGTTTAACACCGCTTCTATCAGTATTTCCAGTTATATCGCAGCGTGTCAGCTTAATGTGGGAGGAAAGACGGAAGTGATGCAGGTCTCAGATATTTACCACTTTGGTGAAACCCACAAGCACGGGTATCAGTATCGAGGGAGGTATGTAACAAAGTTGCACCCCCCTGACCTCACCCTGTATTGGCTCTCGCCAAAAGGATGGCTGTCCTGCGCAACAGTATGTCAACGCAGACCCTGCTAAGCTTTGCAACATCTGCACGAGCATTTTCTACTCCGTCTGGAGGAAGAGAATTTGCGAGACAGCTGTGACTGCTTACTAATGACATTTCTCCTGTCATGAGTGCTTACTGACCAGATGAACAGGCACTGTGGGACAGGCTCTGAGATCACACCTTCTAGGGGCGGGTGGAACCTTGCATCCCAGAATTATCACAAAGTGTTTCTGAGTGGAGGAATGCTTTCCAGGAAGAGATACTTTATCCGACCTCATCCTATCTTTAGCTGCAGTAAGTATGGTAGACCTTTTTTCACTGAAAATCTAGTATTCCTTGATGTTTTTTTCGGTTTGGTACCCCAAGCCTCCTTAGACAGATGTTTGCAGTGTAACATCTTGAAGCACACATACTCTTTCACATGCTTGGCATCTTTGCATCCAATCAGTTGATCAATGCTGCACCCTGAACACACACCAGATGGCAATGGAAAGGGAGAGTCCATCTCCCACAATACGTTTCTAAACTAACTGCTTACAAGATCGTTTCTGCTTCCTTTACTCCAGTAATCTGTAAATTCTCCTCTAGTCTTTATGACAATCTCAAGAAGTTACAGTGTGAAAAAAAACCCACGTGTTTAGATGTGATTAAAATTGTTTTGATTGTTTACATCTGGACACACAGGATAAAAGTGATGTTTTCCTATCTTGTGCATGCACAGTTGTATTAGTGTGAAGGATATGGTCTACCTCACAACTATTAGAAATGTGAAGTGAAAATGAGCAGTGAAAATAATATTTTGTGATTTCAGCCCAAACAGGAACTTATGGCTATGATGAAATAGAGGAAAGTATTCAAAGAAATTATGTTTATTTTTCGGTGGCCAAAGTGACAAGAAGTAGATCAGTTTGGGTCACCAAGCATAGGTTTAAGTGGCATTGGTGACCAAAATGGTCATAACTTAATTGGGCTGCATAAGTAAAGAGGTTATAGTCACAGCTATTGTTACATCCCTTCAGCTTGTTGGAAGAAGTAGTCGGCATATTCCGAACAATGTTGAAGCCCACTTGGATCTTGGATCCTGGTGACCAAAATAAACCTAAAAGGTGTTTATTTCCATGATGTCAATTTGGTATGGTTTAGACATTTTTCTGAAGTTTAAGATTCAAGTTGAATATCAATAGATACGAATGACAGACAACACATCATGCTATAAGTTTCCTTGGACTTTCTGTCCTTGATAGCCAATAGAATTGGTCTTACTAAAAAAGTGACTGTTGAGTTGAGATTTAAGTCTCACTCATGCAGTCAGTAATAAGTTTACCTGGCTAGTAGAAGGAAAAGGATCCAAGTTGGTGATGTGAGGGATAGTGGCAACGTTGGACTTTTTCACCACTTGCTTGTCTCTGTATTTTGATGGAAACACTAAAAAACAAGAGCAAATAAGATTGAACAACATAGTCTGTTATTCTATAATATTCTTAGTAATAATTTCAATGATGGGTATTGCCAGCTACTGTGTATCATGATCACCTAGGTTTTATCTTATTGAGATGATACAAACAGAGGGCTGTCAGTCGTGTACTAAATATCAGCCTCAGTGACAAAATCAGTTCACTCAAGTCAACTGGCTACAAAACAGTAAATGCCATAGCAGTAAAAAATTGTAATTTTTACAGTATACTGTATATTTGTATTACTTATCCTATCTCACTCTGTTCATTTCATCCTTCTTCATCCGATCCTTGTGTGGAAACGTCCCCAAACAAAGTTTCCAGCTTCTAAGCTTCATTCACCCAAACACTGCTTGCATCACCATGGCAACCACCCTGTCAATGAGGTCTTGCACCCGGATCTCTTGTGCAGCTTGCCATACTTTTGCTGATCACCTGACACTCTCTACCTTGGAGGTGACAGGCTGTGTAACTGTGATGTGGGGATGGATGGGTGGGCACAGTTCGTGTGAGATAGGATAAGTAAAATAAATACACAATTTACTCTAAAATTTACAAATTTTTAAACTTATCCTACATCACTCTATGCATTTATCCCACGGTTGGATGGTGGGTCGCAGATTACCCCAGCCTGTATTCATCTTATAACTGTGCGATATACACGAGGAAGCTGGTGCTAAACATGCTTCAATCCTAAGATTGTCACACATTCGTGTTCTAAAACATACTCGAGATTTTATGGGTGGATCACTGCGCTATGCATGAGAATACCCCTTTACACTACTACGACACAACTATTGCCATTGGGTATAACATGCGTTGTGTGTTTTCGCATAGGACATGGTACTATGACGACCAAATAGTTTTGAAGTATGGTAACCTATTCAACCACAACTTTTAACCAATCCCGAAGGGGGCTCCAGTCAATTAGCTCTACAAGTAAACTCACCCACAGCTCTAATGACGTAGGCCTCATTTGCTTGGCATTCGCAAGATAGAACTCGCTTATATGAGGAAACGATTAACAATATAGAGATGAGGATCTTCAAACCAATACTGGTACTTCACATGCTCAAGGCAGAGGTGAGCAGCTAAGGGTTTGGAACACTGCTGAAATGGCCACGCCTAACGGCGACTTCGTAGTGGAAGACAAATGTCTCTACAGATGAGTTTTTTGCTTCTCCACTGAAGCCTCGATCTGGAAACCCTGATTAAGTACAATATAAACAAAGGAGTGGCTCTCAATTATTTATTCATGTTGTACATGTGAGTGGTACTCGCATCCTATCTGCGTTGATGGGCTGTTGTTAATTGTCAAGAGTCAGGACTAGCGAACCGAGGTGATGTAACCCTTGGAGATATCTCGTAAGTAGTGGGAGGTGCAGACTTTATCAGACTTCCAGACACATCTTTCCATGATAGCCCTTAGGGAGCAGTTACTATGCAGTGCCATCGTGCAAGCAACAGTTCTCATCTCGTGAGGATTCGATGTCTGAGGTTGGGGCAATCCTGCAAAGTTGTTGGCACGGAGAATTGTAGATCATAACCAAAAGGAAACAGCTCCAACTGGACATAGTGAGATGTCCTTGTGATCCTCGGGACGTAGAATCGAGACCAAAGTGGGGATGGTGAACAGCCTGTCAGGTTGCCCTGGGTGCCCCATCGCAGACCCAAATGGACCTTTCCATGGTTGTTTTACTCAAATCAAATACTGCTGACATCCAAGACATGTATCTTGCTGACCCTTAATGCACCAGCAGCTAAAGCTAGGAGGAAGACTGTTTTGAGAGTCTCTCTCTTCCTGCGGTTTGTATTCTACTCACGTCAAGTGTCAGAGGATAGCGTATATATCCCATTTGGGTAGACAAAATCTGGATGACTGGTGGGTGAGTTTATAAGAGAGGAGAAGAGCTTGAAGTTCTGGGACTAAAGCGATCTTCACGCTCGTTGTGGTAGTGATGACCAAATTTAGAGCTGCTAGATATGTAGATAATGTTGAACCCTTTAGGTTCCTGGTTGAGTGAAGATGCTGAAGATATTCTGCAACTTGCTGTTGAGTAGGAGAGGTGATAGACCTCCTGCGGCAGTATCCCTCGAAGGCTTTCCATTTCTGGTCGTATAAGGATTTGGTCAAAGTACGATGAGCCTCAATGATGGTCTTCACTACTTGCCTTGAGTACCCTTTTGCAACTAAGGACTTCTGGAGATGAACTAGACGCAAAAATGTAGGGTGTCCAGTGATGGTTGTAGTAGGCTGGAGTGAGGTTGAACGGGAAGATCTATTCGTAAGTGAAAGGTCGTTCTGACGTGACCCTTAATGGGATGTCCTCAGATCTTTGCTTAGCGATAGCGAGAACAAAGGTCTGATTTTAATGAGATTGGATGTAGTACTGTAAATGGGTCCGTAGCACTTACTGCCAAAACCATACGCTTGTCCAAAGAAAACTAGTAGTATAGGTAATAGGGGTTCTGGACCACTTCCACTGGAGCCGGATTTATATACCTATACTGCTACTACAGGCGGCATTTTTTATGCCAAAATGATTATGCGATTCAACGATAGTCATGAGATTAAGTTAAATTGGCTCTAGCTCACCAATACCTGGGGCCAATCATTGCTTTAGATGAGCCTAAATGGTAATAAAAATATTCTTCATTATTTTTAGCGATAAAGCGATATTCAACATTTTTATTAAGTTCTTCGTTCATTTTACTAGGAGACCAGACTATATAACTACACTCTTCTTGTAAATTGATAAGAAACAATTGATAACCGTATTTGGTTGGTTTGACATCACTGATATTATAAAAACCTTGTGGTAATTCTCTCCATTTAATAGCTTTTTCGATCTCCATTATTATATATATGTATGTAAGCATTTGTCTAAATGTGATCAAACGATAGTAAGCAATCTATTTTTAATCTCCAACAAGTTCTTTGGTTTTGGCACGGAATAATTGACGCGCTTGTTGCCTCCCCTGTTCTATGAACTTTTTTTTCTCGTCTTTGCTAATACCACTGGTCTTACGAGACTTTGATCGAATCTCCTGCTTCATTTCGTTGTATTTGGTGAGTTCCGACAGCACTAAACGAAACTCATCCTCGGATATCTTACAATCGACCATTGCTGTCGAAATATGATCCTCAATGCTGTTCAACTTTGCTTTGGCGAGTATCCGAATACTATCGTGTTTTAATGCTTTTTTTTGCAACCTACGAGAAATGAATTTTAGCGCTATTCCTGCCAGTCCCGAGACTCCAGCGGCTATTTCCATGCCGAGCACGATAGGCGTGGCGATTATAGTTGATAGTAAACCGACACCGGCTACACCGAGTCCCATGCCAGCTGCTACAAGCGCGGTGTCAACTCCGTCCAGAGCATTCACGGCTCTGCGATACTTTTTATACAATCCAAGTCTCAACTCCCTATCCTTCTCTATTCGATGTTTTATGTCGCTTATTTGATGTAATCGAAATCCATCAACAGTTTCCATCTTTTCAATTGCTTCATCGAGCGCTGGATATAAACTCATAGTGTATATTACGAATATATAATAGTCTTTAATTGGTCTTGCTTAAATGTTTTGAGAGTATACATCAACCTTATCAAATGTATATTATACGGCAAGAATATCTTAGTAAGAGAAATACTACCACTTTTAATAATTTGGACCCCCTCGAGAGTTGCAACGGGTGATGCTCCGATATGAATAATACTGCAACGTTGACGCTCGTGTTTCTTGAGCCATTTAATCGATAGACCTGGTAATATTTCGAAGGCATCTTCCGGTACATCTCCGAACAAGACTTCAATAATAAGCGTAGAAATATTAGGTATTGCACTCAAGTTATCTTTGATATCATCGAATTCTGTAACCAAATTTAAACTTACATTTTTTAAGGCCGGACGACTATATAACATATGACCTGGGTTTTCTGGCAGGGGAGTGACTAACACACTTTTTCGTTTTGATGGAATATAGGCCGCGAGTACGATACCACTATTTATTATCTTAGTTAAATTATGTCCCTTACCCATCATCACATAAGGTGGGGTAATGACGATATTCAGTAGCCACTCGATGTTTGCTTCGACCATAGTCCATTTATTCTCACCGTTGCGAGTAATATTGTACGAAGTGTTTTTATGGAGTCTACTAACGTCAACATCGCTTAAATCTTCTAGATTACCCATGAATGTAACTTCTTACCGCTTGTATACATTATCTTGTAAGTGTAAAGCGTATAACTTACCATTGTTACCGGGTTTATCGAATCCTTCCGTGTCTCCGAGATCGGAAAGCGCAATTGTATTACATTGTCTGAGTGTTCCAGGGCCTGATGCATCAACCATTATTTATAATATGGAGTGTTACACTTAAGTATCCTATATGTACAGGTTGGTGTTTTACATCTAATACAGAAATTTATTTTTTTATACTGTAATCAAGAGAAAGATTCCGTTCTACCGCTATTGTATTTTTCATCTTTCACTGGAACACTTCTGAGCAGAGTTGAAGGACTTTCTAGTTGAATATTATCCGTCGTGCTTATTTGATCTAGATGGATGCACAACTCTTTATAAGGAACTAAATTGGGTAATTTATCTCCATGTATTGTTCTATTGGGTGGTATTGCTACTGATTTAATGCGCCAATCAAATCCAAGTGTGTCTGCTGTTCTCGGGGCAAGAATTACTTTTTCTTCTCCAATACTTAGTTTCAGCATCCCGTTCGGCTCATTTTGTGTGAGACTAGCTCCGTTAGGCTTAAAAATTTTATCATTGAGTGAGTATACGCTGTAATACCCGTCAGGTATAATGCGCACTTCTCCTTTTGTCCATACCTCATTATTACCCCTCACAGCACTTATATTGGTCAACAGTGGGTAATATGTTACATCGCATAGGGCGACTTCGAGGTTGACTATCCGAGTTATCGATAGTATGAAGCAGTTGAATAGGCTGACCA